TTCAGTGGCTTTACTGAGGTTGTCAGTTTGACTTTCTTTGTTAATAGTTATACACATAACTGTTCATAAACTGATTTTGTTTGGAGTCATATCTCTCAGTTTGCCTTTATTAATTTACCACATAAGTAAATGATTTGATTTTGTCAGTTCAGAGGATGTCAGCCATCTAATAAGTATAATTCTGGTTCTTCATATCTGTGCTGCCTCTAATTTAGCAGGACAGGCTCATAATTGCAGCAAATTAACTATTTACACTTTCTACTTCTACCACAGGAAGAGGACAAATCAGCAGGAAAGAATGAGTTAGAAATTTAATTTTTCCCATTTGCTTCATATCAGCTGTTATATAAACAAATTAACAGAAAAATAAATACTGAGAAAAAATAATGAAGTTTTGCTAGTGAGCTGAAATGGCTAATATTGCTAGATGTGAATTAAGCAGCATGAAAGAAGGCATATGTTACAGTACTCAAATACTTGGCTTCCAAGTACTTGGAGCTCAAGAGCCCAAGGTAAATCTTCCTTTTCCACTACAAGGCAAATCTCTCTCTCTCTCTCTCTCTCTCTCTCTCTCTCTCTCTCTCTCTCTCTCTCTCTCTCTCTCTCTCTCTCTCTCTCTCTCTCCCTCCCTCTCTTTTCTCTCTCTCTTTCCCTTTCACACACACATACACACACAGGTTGTTGTCCCTTCCGAATATAACAAACTCTGAACGGGCATTCCATTTCATTTTTAGCGTAACAGCAAGGTTTTTTTAGATCTTTGGCGAAAACTTTAAAGCCATTTAATGTAATGTAAACAAGAACATTTTGTTTGTAATTTGCTAAATGTATTACAGCCTTACTGTGTCTCCAATTAGGAACTTAAGGTTCATTTAGTACATTTACATCTGGTTCTGATTTAAAGTGGCTTTACTTTTCCATTTAAGAGCTACTTTGACTTGGCTGAAAATGACCTGAATGTCCTTTATAGCTATTGCACTATTCTTGTCTGCTTTAAAGCCAGAGGGACTCTTATTTAATAAGCTTAGTTTCAGCTTCACAGTAGCCAGTGCACATGGGATCTATATTGAGATAAGCAGTAGAAAATAATTCAAGAATACTTAGATAGAAGATTTAACTGGAATTTCATTTTTTTAAAAAGATGCTAAGAATTGCTGGAAATCCAATGGGACTAATACAAAAGAAGGGACATAGTTGAGTTCCTCTTTTTCCTGCTATAGTTTTTAGTCAGTGAAAAATAAGTAGCAAAGAACAACATCACAATGATAACTTGTTTTATATTACTCTCCCCATCTGGTGCCTTCTTTTTAAAAAAAAAAGACAATATACTAGCTTACTGAAATGAGCTCTATCTATTGTCTTCCGATTCATTAGCATTTAAAACCTCCAGCTGGGCTCCCCAACACAATTCTGTTTCCCCTCTAGAGTCAGTACCATTTTCTAAAGTATTAAAATGAAGATATTTCTGATTTGATAGCTGTATTTTTTCAAATATATGTATACACACATGTACTACACATATAGATGTATATATGTGTGTATATTGATTTGATAGCTGTATCTTTTCAAATGGCTTTGGGAAGAATTGTATATGTGCATGTGTGTATGTGTATGTAGTATGTACATTCCTTTGAATTCCTTCTTTGTATAGAACTTCAGAGACAGTGACCCAAATATATATATGTTTATGTGTGTAAAACATAGAATACATACAAATACACATCTATGTAAATAAATGTATATGCACACATGTACATGTACCTATATGTATGCACACGTGTTCTATGCATGTAGGTGTGCATATGTGTGTATATTTATCTGTATGTGTGTGTGTGTGTGTGTGTGTGTGTGTATATATATATATATATAATATATATATATATATATATATATATATATATATATGGAGAGAGAGAGAGAGAGAGAGAGAGAGAGAGAGAGAGAGAGAGAGAGAGAGAGAGAGTCTCCTTTACTCACCATGGACCCTGAAAATAAAGACCTGCCATTCTCCACAGCTTCCTTTTTCCTCCCACACTCCCCAATGAGGAAGCATGTGATATAAACACATGGCAACTCTATTAGTCATGCTCTCATGTACAGTCAAGAAAACATTCAATTGTTATTTCCATAATAGCTAACTTTTCTTAAATATTTTTGTAATTTTCAAAGTCCCCAATAAGTCATCATTAATTTTGTCCATTTTCCGCAGTCTGTGTTTACATTTGTAGCTGTTCGTAATTGTGGGCTATTAGGACAATAGGAGTTATGCACAATTTTGGTCCATGGAATCCTAGCCTCCCATTTGAAGCAGTCACCTGCACGATGCCAATCGCATTATGAGACTTTGTTTTCTAACACGCACATTTGTCCTAAAATTTGGGGCTTAACATAAGCCTGCTTCTAAAATCTCCAGTGAAATTCCTTTAAAAATAAATAACAGTATGTATGCTCTCCAATTTGAATATTAAACGAGGGCAAAGTAGAATTAATTTAGTTTGAAACACAGATATTACATTATGCTGGCACAGTGAGTCAACATAAAGGGAATGAACAGGTGGTAATATGCCATAATAACACTTATGAATATTTTTGCTGAAATTCTCATGATGCTGAAATGTAAAAACTAGGCAAGTGCTTTTACTTTGTTGGGAGCTCTTTCAAGCTCTAGGAGGGCTGTCTCCTGAGAACAGAGCCCTGGTCTTCCATATGCAGGACACTGCTTCTAGGAATTATGAGCTGGTTTCATCTCCTTGACCTCATTCTGTTCCCCGAGATGGGCTGGGCCTATTTGTAGTGTTTTCTCTAGCTGTGGAAAAGAGAGTCATTGTCCCTTTTAATTTCTCCTTAGGCAAATCTCACCATCCCTGCTCAAGCAAGGCCTTGTGCCAGGAGGAAAAGAGAGCACTGGACCATTTTAATGGAGATAAATAAATAAAAACAATGCCAAGGTGCCTGTCATTTCTCATTTCCCTGGTCCTTTAAAGTTTACCAAGCACTTTCCTCCCCCAACAGTGCTAGGAAGTAGGCAGTAACATAAAAACAGTTTCCTATTGGGAGGTAGGCATTGGAGTTTCTGCTAATCCCTTGTCTCAGTACTCATGTCTTAGGATGCTTTTCTAAAAGAGAATAATAAGCATAAGAAATCCCATTTTTTCTATCTGTTTCCTTCCCCCATGCAGCACTCCAACTGGACTCTGGCAAAGGCTTTTGCTTCACAATACCTAATGTGTTGTGCCATCTAAGTAACACAACAGTTCGATTTTGATTCACAAGCTAGATGCTCCAAAGCAAGCTCTAGTAAGATACAGACAAAAAGCAGTCTAATTACATGTAACTTATAAAGGTATCAGAAAGTGAATGCAAGAAACAATGTGGAGCAAGCCATGTAATCATATATGCATGAAAACAATGCAGGGTCTTTTCCCTCTCTCTATCCAGGACCCTGTGATGGGCTTATGAAGAGGCCTTTAACACTGCTTTGTGTCTTTGTTGTTTAATGAATGTCTACACTGGGAAGGCTTACCTTCCTTCTGAAAGTCAGTGTTGCTATGGTTTATTCCAAATATAAAAGTAGAATTAGAACATAATAATTGAAAATCTTTTTGTTTATGAACCTCTTAGGGAAAAATGACCACCTGGCATCCCTTTTCCTCCTCTTCCCACTCCAAAAATAGAAAAGAAAAAAGCCCTCCCAAAATTGAAAATGGCACTACTAGAAAGAGGAAAATTAGCTACAGTTCAAGTTTTTTCAGTTTGTGTTTTAAATTGCAAAGTGACTAGCTCCTGACAGAAACATAAGATTACACATTTAGAGTTGAAAGAAACCTTAGAGGCCATCTCAAGTCCAACTTCTTAATTTTACAGCTCAGGAAACTGAGGCTTACAGAGGCTAAGTATCTTGCCCATGGTGACAGTGTCAGTTGGGATCTGAACTGAAGACTCTCTCTTTCAAAGTGCAGCATTCTATTTACTACACCATTATTTATTATATACGTCAATACCACAGGAAGCGCTTTGAAGACACTCTGTACATTACTGGTCTATAACCATCCTGATTTTGAATACTGCCCAGGAAGATAGAAATTAAGTCAGAAATTAGAGCAATATTTTGGAGAATGTAGGGAGACACATGTATTTAACTTATTCAATTAATTATTTCTTCTTTAAGCAATGTCTGCATTGCCTCTGAACCTGGCTTAAGTAACATGCTCTGAAGGTTTGTCTTACAGGGTATTTTCCTCTCCTTTAACAGAACTCTGTGGCAGCTTATGACTTATGTTTAAATAAGAATGCCAATATGTCTGGTCATTAAAGGATCATGATAAACGTGTTCAAGGTTTAGAAAAAGGGGCAAAACTGGGTCACAGTCAGGGGATGTGAGTAACTCCAAGGACCACCTTACCAACTGATTCCCTCCTATCCCCTAAGGACTCCTGAAACACCTCAGGACATGGCTGAGAAGCAGTTTCCCATTTGGTCTTCCCCTACAGCATTCAGTGATATCAGGGGGATGCATTAAATGAAGAAATCAACTGCACATATGTTCCCACTTAACCCAATGTGGACTATGTTCTAGAAAGGTTTGGGTAACATACTTGAGTGGTCTTTAGAAAGCTAGTGATGGTGGAAGAGCTTAAGCCTGAGGTTAATTTAGCAAATAGCAAAGCTGGGTTTTGATGACAAACAAGCAAACATTAAGTGCTAAAGAGAGGTAAGGACAGTTTTCAAAACACCCTTTATGATCACATCAGCAACTCTAAGGAGTGATGTAATTCCTGCTGATGCCTGCTGGACTTCCCGACAATTGCATATAGTAGTGCAATAAAATGCTATAAAATTATATGAAAGTCTCTTAAAGTGTGTTTCTGATGTAGCCCATTTTCTCTCATTCATTCCAGCCACTGAAGAAGCCATTCAAAGCACTTAGAAGCTATTTCTTTGCAGCTTACCCAATTTCTACAATCAAATTAACACCCACTTCCTCTTGTAACACTTCTTACCTGTTTTTGCTCCTCTCCTAAACCATCCCACATTGAGGCCACAATGTTAGAGACTTCACCAAAAGTAGCATTTGGATTTTGGCCTTTGATGGCTGCTTGGGTATCTCGGAAGAATAGTGCATTGGATGGTACAGGCTTCTCAGGCTCATTAGAGTCCTTCTTTTTCTTTTTGTGACTTTTTGGTTTGTTTCCCGTATCAGAAGCAGGCCATTTCTTTCCACATGTTATCTAGAAGAGGATCATGGGATAATTACAGAGGGGCCCACTAAAGCATGGGCCAAACCAAATTGCTGCTTCTCACTGAGACTAACAGACACACACACACAATCCTAAGTAGCATTTTTATTTGTACCTTTGGGTTCAGAAAACCTTTATATCTCATATAAATTATAACTGTATCCCTCACAACTTAGATAACAAGTCTTTGAAATAATTTTTGATTATAGAATTATTACCCTAGTATATTAACTCCACTATCCTTCTTTTCTCTTTTTATGAATTTTATAGCCATAGTGAAAGTTGCTTAGGGAGTGAGTCAAACACATTTTAATTGCACTGATATACACAGACTCTCATACATACTATTTCTATTAAATAAACTTACTTCTTTAGTTAAAAGGCTTATCCTAGCTTTTCTTAAACATGGATATTCTCTCAGATCCCTTGAATCTCTAATATTTTAGATGTGTATATTTTAGGGAAAAAATACATGGGAACCAATAATAGCATCACCATAATAACAAAGTCATCTAAAAATAAAAAGCTGAATGGATATTTGACTTGTAACTTTGTAGTATAGATAAAGCAAGCAAAAAAATCAATAAATTTATCTAGATAAAATCCTAACTGGAAGCTTTCTGAACAGTTTTTAACAGTTTCTGAATCTTCAGAAAGAATCCTCATGTATTAAAGGTTTGTCCTTCCATTTTCATGCCTTCTAACTCTTCATCAGGATGTAAAAAGAACTGCATTTTTGAAGGCTATGCTAAGAGTGAGAATTCTGTCAACTGCTATGAGGCTAGAAAGTATAAGGACTAGAAATGAACTACAGGTTTGTTCTCTTTAGACATTGGCCACCATGAGATGAATTTTTGGGTTTGGGGGAAAGATGGCAAAGCAGCTAATGAAGCTATCTACTAAGACATGGAGAGAATTCCCACATTAATATAATCATATATCTATCCTTAAAGCACTGGAACTTTACATTTGTAATTACTAAAACAGAAACTCATATAAACAATGAACATCTCACTTGTTGAGACTAACTGGTGGCATGATTTGACTGAAATAATGGAAAGCCAGTAATAAGAGTTTCTTTATATGAAATGGAAGAACTTGAGTAGAGAAACAATGGAAACAAACATTCCATGATGACAGTGAAAAAAATTTCCTCAATAATCAAAAGTCTATGGCAAAAAGGTTTTAATGAATCATTTGGCTTGGGCTTGCTCAGGCTACTAGGATAGATTAAAAGATCATCACTGTAGAACTGACAGACACAATAGAGGCTATATAATCCAACTGCCAATTTTATAGATGAGGAAACTGATACTTGGTGATATTAAGTAACCTGCCTGATTTCACAAGGTACATCCAGCAATAGAGTCAGGATTCAAACCCCAGGTTTTACATTTGATGCTCTTTTGAGAGGTGACCTGAGCCCCTGCTTGGCACTTAAGAATTTTCAATTAGGTATTATATTAAAAGTAAGAGATAGATAGTAGCCACTAACTAGATGAGAACTGTACATTTTAGGAGAAGCTTAATTTGAATTGTACTTATGGAGGACTAGAATTATATAGATAAGCAGAGTTTACTAATTGGCTGAAAATTCCAATTTGGCAAAGGAATTTGATCTTCAAGAGATATGGCTGGGAATAATGGGACAAATGGTATAGGTAGAGAGGAAGGTGAGAAGGCACAGGTATATCTAATGGCAGAGGGTGTACACATCCTTCTAAGCATCAACAAAACGTTGGGATCTAAGTGCATAGTAGGCTACTCCCTCTTGTAAGCCATATATATGGAGTGGTAAAAGTAGCTGTAGCAAATGCTTATATCATAAAGCATTCAAGTTACCCAGAATCACACTAACAGAGGGAAGAGAGCAAATAAAGAAAAGAATTTCAACTCCCAAGTCGCCTTTTGGTAATTACTAATTTTTGGAGTAAAGAGGTTGAAAGTTCTAGATCCAAGAGTGCTAAATACACAGGATCTACTTAATTGATGAAAGAGATGTAGATAACATACCAAAACCCCATGACATTCACAGGATAGAACTTGAATAAAAAAATGTAGAATTGCTAACTTAAACAAATGCCTATCATTTAACACACAGGTTCTCAAACTTATTTGGCCTACTTCCCCCTTTAAAAAAAATTTACCCAGCGCCCCCCTGAGCATCTACTTTCTTTAACACTTTAACTTTTTTTTTTGAAATTTGCATCATTTTAAAGAATATAGAATATTTTTTTTAAAAAAACTATGTATCTTAAATTAAATAACTTATTATAAATTTGTGGGGATTTTTCCTGCACTGAAATCTTGATGTCCCAATATTGCATCATGTAACCATGTAGTATCATATTGTAAAGAAGTCATTACATGCACATATTCCTGCTGATGCCTGCTGGACTTCCCGACAATGCATGACAGGCTTGCCTGCCAACCCTTGCTTGTTAAGACCTGTCAGCAGACTTGACCACTGATTGGTTATAACTTGCATTTTGTGTGTTCACTTGGAAAATAATGTAATAATTACTACTTTAAGTCTGTTACATCACAGATGAAACATGTACGAACAGTTTTTCAAAATTTTCTTCTCTTCTTTCCTTATGCTTCTACCACCCCCTTATTTTTATTCAATGCCCCCAATTGCACCAGAGGCTACTACTGCACCCCCTGGATCCTTCCAATGCCCCCAGAGAGTATCACCCATTTTGGGAACCTATGATTTAACAGCTACTGGGTCAGAGGACTGGCAGGGTTTCTTTGATACTCTTATTTGTACAAAGAAGTTTAAGAGGAAACCTGGAAACTACAGACTATTGAGTTCATACTGAACAGGTGAGTGGAATTTATCATATGGGTAAGAATCTCTGAATATTTAGGCAAATATGACCTGAATTCTGTAAAGTGAAATTAAACCTAATTTATTGTACTTCTCTGAGGGACCATCAAACCAGTAAATAAAGAGGAAAATAGAGGATATAATTTATTTAAACTGTCAAAGACCTTTTGACAAGAGTCTTAATTAAACACAATTTTTAAAAAAGGAGTCATTATGGTGTTTAGGGCAATTTTTTATTAAAAGAAACTGACCAAGAAACAGAAAATAAAGAGTAGGCCAAAATGTTCACATTCTATGTATGTAGTAGTGTTAGACCCAGTCTTATAAAATGCTTTTCTGAATTAAATGAAGGAGGGAATATGAAATGAAATATCATAGTCTGCAGATATTAAATTCTTCTGAATAAGAAAATGCTTGTGATAAGAGACCAAACTCAATAAGTAAAGACTAATGTGCATAATAACAGTTATTTTAAATTGTTTAACAACCTGTGCCAACTTTACCTTTTTGTTTACACCATTAATCTGCATAACATATATTGTCTTCATTGATGGTCTCTGGCAAACTTTAGCCCAGCTGCTGTGCCCACTCTAAATGAATAAGATCCATCTTAAGAATTTGCAATAATTAAGTGAGGGAATATTTGCTAGCCAAAATGTTAAGTACTGACAATTTGTATAAAATAATGGATTTGCTAATTATTCATGAAACTGAGCATTATAAAGATTTTTATATTCTGGAAAACTATTAAGCTAGATGAAAACAGGTTAGAAAGATCAGCCTAATCTAATAAGATGTAATTTAATTTTATTTATTTTTTATTAATTTATTTTTAGTTTTCAACATTCACTTCCAAAAGATTTTGAGTTCCAAATTTTCTCTCCATTTCATCCCTCCCCCACCCCAAAATGGCATGTATTCTGAATACCCCTTCCCCTAATCTGCACTCCCTTCTATCTCCCCCCCCCCTTCTCTTATCCCCTTCCACTTCTATTTTCCTGTAGGGCTGGATAGATTTCTGTACTCCATTGCCTGTATATCTTATTTCCCAGTTGCATATGAAAACAATTTTTAACATTTGTTTTTAAAACTTTGGGTTCCAAATTTTCTCCCTCCTCCTCTCCCCACCCACCCTTGATACAGATTATACATGTGTAGTCATTCAGAACACTTCCATTGTAGTCATGTTGTGAAAAACTATTTCCCTTCATTCTCTCTTGCCCCCTGTTTATTCTATTCTATCTTTGACCCTGTCCCTCCTCATAAGTGTTTGCTTCTGATTACCCCTCCCCCAATCTGCCCTTCCCTCTATCATCTCCCTGCTCATCTCCTTTCATTTTCCTGTAGGGTAAGATAGATTTCCATACCCAATTAAGTGTGTGTGTTATCCCCTCCTTAAGCCAAATTCAATGAGAATAAAATTCATTCATTCCCTTTACTTTTCCCCACTTCCCTCCACTGTAAAAGACTTTTCTTGGCTATTTTATGTGACATAATTTACCCCATTCTACTTCTCCCTTTCTCCTTCTCCCAGTATAATTCTCTCTTATCTCTTAATTTTATTCTCCAGATATCACCCATCCATCTTCAACTCACCCTGTTCCCTCTATGTATGTATGTATGTATGTATGTATGTATCTATCTATCTATCTAATTTTTTTCCCCTCCAACTACCAACTATCCTAATACTGACAAAGGTCTCATGAGCTACAAATATCATCTTTCCATGTAGGAATGTAAACAGTTCAACCTTAATAAATCCCTTAAGATTTCTCTTTCCTGTTTACTTCTTCATTCTTCTCTTGAGTCATATTTGAAAGTCAAATTTTCTATTCAGCTCTGGTCTTTTCATTGAGAATGCTTGAAAGTCCTCTATTTCACTGAATGTCCATTTTTTCCCCCGAAGGATTATACTTAGTTTTGCTGGGTAGGTGATTCTTGGTTGTAATCCTATCTCCTTTGACCTCTGGAATATTATATTCCAAGCCCTCTGGTCCCTTGATGTAAAAGCTGCTAAATCTTGTGTTATCCTGATTATTTTTCCACAATACTTGAATTCTTTCTTCGTGGCTACTTGCAATATTCTTTCCTTCACCTGGGATCTCTGGGATTTGGCTATAATATTCCTAGGAGTTTTCCTTTGGGGATCTCTTTCAGG